ACTTTTTTCTGCAACACAAACAAAATCAGTTAAAGATCTTGCACGACTCAGTTTAAAGGACCCTGAATATGTTGCTGTTGATGAAGAAGCCATAGCTGCTACTCCAAGTAGACTACAGCAAAAAGTCATGCTTGTTCCTCTTGATCAAAAGCTAGACATGTTATGGAGTTTTATAAAGGCACATTTAAACTCAAGGATTCTTGTTTTTCTTTCCAGCTGCAAGCAGGTAAGTTCTTTATTTCTGTTTTATTTGAATGTAATGAATTCCATGATCATGGTTTGAATGTAGGAATTGAATGATTTTTTTATATTATCTATAATATAGTTTTAAGTTTTAAGTGTACTGTTTAGAATTTTTAGTTATACTTTATGAAATTTTTATTTGCTTAAACAGAACAAAGCTCATCCAACCCAAAGTTATCATATAAGAATGTATTTTGTAGTTGTCATTAGAAAATAAATTGTAACTGAACTAAAATCATGAAAATTAACAAAATGGTTGAAATAACATTCTCACATAGTCTTTACAAGGTAGCAAAATGGGTAATGGATTACTTTCAACTTTGTTAAATAATCAGAAATGCTAATTCTAATTGTATGACAACCAAACCAAACATTCTAATAGGTTCTATTAGGCCTTTTCTTTTTTTTTTTTTCTGTTTCTTTAATGTATTAAATTTGAAACCCATTTTTGATAGGTAAGGTTTGTATATGAAGCATTCAAGAAACTGCGTCCTGGGATACCTCTAAAGTGCCTACATGGAAGGATGAAACAAATAAAACGGACATTTATATTGCAACAATTTGTTGAACAAAGATCAGTTCTTTTTTCAACTGATGTATCTTCAAGAGGTCTGGATTTCAACAAAGGTGTTGATTGGGTTGTTCAGGTAACATTTTTTATACTTAATGGAAACATGACTTAATCCAGTAAGCTACATATATGAGTGTTCCTTTTTTTACTTACCACAGAAAGTTAGGGAAATGAGGCCTCCCCATTAAGTTAAGAAAATTTCAAAAGTTTGACAAGACTTAATGTGGAAAGAAGGAGTAAATACCATTTTGTTTTTTTTAGGTGGATTGCCCTGATGACGTGGCAGGTTACATACATAGAGTCGGTCGGACTGCCCGATATGATTCAGCAGGCCGGTCAGTGTTATTTCTTCTCCCTTCAGAAATGAAAATGCTTGATCGATTGCAAGAGAAGAAAATACCTGTTCAGGTTGACAAGGTAACATACTTATTCCCTTGCTTTTCTTAAGCAATTTTAATAGAATAGCAACATACTTTATACTCTTACTCTATAACAACACATACTTTCTTTTGAACTATTGTAATGGAGTTATAAGTACATTAGTATTTATGTGTAAAGAAATTACAAGTACATTGCTACTATAGGTAAACAAAATGTGTAATGAGAAGAAAAGTGTGTTGCTATTTCCTGCAATTTACTCTGCTTTTTGTCATCATGTGTTGGCATCTGAACATTTTGTTGCAAATTTCAGGCAAACACAAAGCGTTTACAATCGGTTTCTGGTTTATTGGCTGCATTACTAGCAAAGTACACGGATCTACAGCCTTTAGCTCAAAGAGCCTTTAAAACTTATGTGAAATCAATTTACAAACAAAAAGATAAAGAAGTTTTTGATGTTGCAAAGCTTCCCATTGATGACTACTCAGCCTCATTGGGTCTCCCAATGACCCCACAACTCCGTTACCTTGACCGTAAGAATATAGACAAAAAGAAGCTGCCCGAGGAGTCCACTTTGCTGCCCGAAGTGCCCGTGCAAAAAGATTTGATAAAGATTTCGAGTAAAAAGGAAAGTAACAATTTACTCGAGGAATCTGAAGAAGATGAAGAGACACTTGATTTACTTCAGAGAAAGGAAACGGAAAACGATGAGGACATGAAGGCGATTGAAAATATGTTGTATGTAATATGTATCCTTACTTTCTTATTTGTTTTTTTTAGTAAGTTTCATTTTTGGTCCCTGAGATTAGCTATTTTGGTCACAAAAAGTTTTCTTGCGGTTTGGTCCTTATATGTGTTTTTGTAACGTTTTAGTCCCCTTTCCAAGAAATTGACTATTTTTGGTGGCTAAAATGCAAAGATTAATATACTTAAGGACCAAGAATGATTCTTTCACTTGGAACAAGGACCAAAATTGTTACAAGAACCTCAAATGAGGACCAAAAATCAAATGTGATTTACTCTTGTTTTATGTACTTTTATGGTTAAAAAGTAATTTTTGAGATTTAATTGGTGTGATAAAATATAAATTTGACATATTGTTTGTAGGCCTACAACTAGGGTTCTTAAGAAAAAGAAGTTGAAGATTAATGTCCATAGACCAGTGGGGACACGAGTTGTATTTGATGAAGAAGGGAACACATTGCCACCTCTTGCAAGATTAGCTGCCATGAATGCTGACTCAGCACTTCTTGATAAAGATAAAGGTAATCCACACTTTTTTCTTAAAACAAAAGGGGTAAATGCAAGAAATAATCATAGCATTGTACTTTTATTTCTTATATGTACTTTATGCTGACTCAGCACTTCTTGGTTAAATTGTTTTTTTAGCTTACAAGGTTGTAATAGGAAGAAAATGAAAGTAGGACACTAAAATAAACAAAAAATGACATGTGAAAGTAGATTGTTATTTTTTGCTGATAACAAATGGGGTTTCGCATTGTAGTATTGAAGAGGTATGCAGAGATGAAACTGGATATGATCTCACGAGACAAGGAGGACAAGATTTTGGATCGCCAAAGACGTAAAGAAAAGAGACTAAAGGAAAAGGAAAAACATAAAAGGGCAAGAGATAATGATGATGACGTGGACGAAGACGACGACGGCTTTTCTGGGTCCGATAAAGACACACGCAACCTTAAAAAATCAAAAGTGTACTTTGATAGCGATGGTGATGATGATGATGTGGCAAGGAAAGATGAGGTGGCATCGAAGACGGATGCGATATCGTTGCGTGAACAAGAGGAACTTGCGCTTAAGTTGTTGAGCTCTATGCACTCATCATGAGTTGTTAACAGCTGTTTAATGTGTATGCCCCATTTTTGTACGTCTTTAATTGAAGTGAGAAAGTAAAGGTTTAAGTTGTTTTTGGGAGATCATCTGTGGTAGATGGGGTTGATACTTGATTGTAACTGTAACATTTTATAGAAATGACTGCTTTTTTTGTCTTTTTACTTTTTAGGGTTAAGGTTAATGATTTTTTTTTTCTTTTATCGTCGATCCTCAACATCTCAAAAAGCATGTCAATAAAGTCATTAGGCCGTGGTGTATAGTCGTATACCCACCATACCACCACCCCAAAAGTATATAATCATAACATTTAAACCATACCATTATAATGAACTTCTTTTTTTTAATTATTTAAAAGTATTTGTTTTTTAATTAATAAAAAAGTAGAGAGATAGAGAGAGAAATAAGATTATTGGGTGTGGTGGTTCATGGTCTACACCACAATTTGGGTATCAATGTGGGGGTGGGAATGGTGTTCTTTTCACATGCATATCAAATGACCTTATCACAAACTTGAAGTATTCATCCAGTTACCATGGTTATGTGAATATATTATTTGTAAGTTTTTCCGTTTTCCTGGACATGTGTGTTAATCCATGTGTAAAAGAAATTGTAAATAAATGCTACTCAAATACAATCCCAAGGCATCGACAACGCTTTCATATCCTCATACAACAAAGAAATTCATAATTCAAGCTTTTGGGAGTTCTCGGTAATTGTAAGTGTCCAACCCTTTTTCGAAATTTAGTTGCTTGAGTATACATGTTTGTAATTGAAAATAGTTTCTATGTAGAATCCAGATGTTGTGTATCTGAAAGTTGATCTTAACTTTCAATGAGTGTTTATACGTTATCCCTCCACATATTCTGATGGCAACATTTTCTTTTCACATACCATGATTTTGCTGGTGTGGATTTTAATGATTGTGTAAAACATTCCTCAAACGATTTCATGCAAGAACCTTGTGAAAAGCCTTAGTACCATGTCCCAAATGTACGTTATTGGTAAGAGAATATCCATTTATGTAGACAACTTTGGTGAGCTTCTAGAGGAATGGTTTGAAGACGATAAGGAAGAAGTGGTTAGTCCATATGAACATGTATATATTGTTGCCAATGGGTACCAACTTTGCTACCAAAAATGATACCAAAAAACTTTTGGTCAAGATATAAGCTTCACAGATGAGTGATCATGAATCTTTTCACATAAAGTTGGGATCAACTGTTAAATACTTGTGGATGGGCGAAGTACATTATGATATAAGAAGAGCAGGATCATCAATGAATCTAGAATCCGAAATGCTCCATTCTAGATTTCTAGACATACAGGTCATTATGGTAAATAGGGAAATACACGATAAAACCAATATATCTAATCTTTGATGTTGTCATTTTTTGTCGATATCTTTTCTTTTTCGAAGTAACTTTAAATACTCTTACGTTGTTTTTTGAAAAAAAATATAATCCTTCCACAATTGTTACATTGAATCGTAGAACTGCTTATAGAATGCCCATGGTATTGCAACTTAAAAGCTTTCCAATTGAACAAATGCCAATGAAAAGGAGTATCAGACCAATTAGTGCAACGTAAAATTTGTGGATACAAGGAGTTTACATGATTTAATAGGAAGTATGACAGTGTCTCTGAACAGCCGAAATATTTTAAAAAGGGAGTTCTAACAAGAAGCTAGAGCAAAAACCAAACGATTACATCAGAAAGTTTAACACAGGAAGTATCACGCTTTTGTTTTAGCATTTGTATATTCCAATGGGATTTTAAGTCATTTGTAGGACGATTTATGCAAACATTTAAAAAAAACATTTCTTTTTGAAAAGAAAAAAAAAAGGACGCTTGAAAAAAAAAACTAGGCTTACAGCAACAATCCAATATTCTTAACAAACATCTCTAACAATCTCAAACCCAGAGTTAGATCAGCAAACATAATATCAGGGAGAAGAAGAAAAAAGGATAAAAAAAAAAAAAAAAAAGTAACATCCACAATAGGAGATGTTTGTTTCTCTTGGGCACATATATCAAACTCCACGCACCATATATAGTACAGACTTGACCAACTTCATATAACAACTCACACCCCCAACCTTCAATGCTAATCATCACTGCAAAAAAAAAAAATAATACAATTCCAAGTCAACCCTTTGACCACCCACAAAACCTTAAAAACAATCAAGGGTATGCATAAAGGTCAGATTTTTATGGATTGAGACCAAAGGACCATTATACCCTTACATTTCGAAAAATAAAATTCTCCATAATCATTAAACAAAGTTTTCTGGCTCAACTCATTAAATCATTAAAAAAAAATGAGCCTCATGAAAAAGTAAACCCAAAAAGGTGGGAACAAGATGAAACAGATGCTTGTTCTCTCATCTCTTGTTTGTGTAAAAAGACATAAATGCCCTTTTAGTATGAATATAAAATATAAAAAGAAACAAAAAATGCATACTACCTGCTGTGGTTGTTGGTAACCACCATACCCTGCAGCCCCTGCATAGACTCCATAATAAGCATTTGGATCTTGAGGCGGAGGAGCATACCCATACGCCTCATACCCTTGAGCATATCCATAGTAAGCACCACCACCACCACCGCCACCTCCACCACCATAATGTGGCTGCTCCGATTGCCCCTGTTTGCTTGAAGGACTACGACCCCAAGAAAGCCGGATATTTTGGCCTCCTAATTCAGTTCCATTTAGAATCGACAAAGCTTGTTCTGCACACCCTCTGAAAAATAACAAACAAGGGTAAATATGGAAACAAAAAATAAACTTCCAGAGCGGCTTTATGTTGATACCTGTTGGCAAATTGAACAAATCCACATCGCTTGCCTACGGGAATCTTAACATGAATTAGTTCACCAAATTGACCAAATACCCCCCTTAGGGTTTCATCAGAAACACTTGGATCCAAACCACCAACAAATATCTGCACTCATCATTCTCAATTGTCAAACATTTAGAGATTCAAATAGAATAGCCACAAAAAAAAGACAATAATACCCACAGTTGTGTTGTTTGGGTCGCTCTCTCCCTGACTTCCTTGAGCACTTTGGTAAGGGGCTGCATGTTTCAAAAATATTTAGAAAAATAAAATAAAGTAAAGCAAAGAAGAAACATCTTATTCTTATCCAAATCAACAATGAAGAATTCCAGATGTTGTGCCTAAAAAATGGTCAGTAACTGCAATACCTGTACTCCAGCTTCTGTTGGAACTATACAAATACAAATACTAAAAAAAGCACAAGCCTTGAAGGGCAATACAAATTATTAAAAAAAAACACATAACAAGATTAGGGAAAGATTAAAGAATTAAATTTATTCTATATATAAATGTGGTCTTCTGTCTTGATACAAGAAAAATAACTGACAACACGTGTCCAAAGCCTAACGCATGGGTAACACAGCAGCAAAAAAGAAAGAAAACCCAATACTCAAAGATGATAATTGGATGTTGAAAGACTGAATATGACAGGAATATAAAGAGGTAAAAGACTGGAACAAATAGAAAAGATGGCATGATATGAAGAAAAGAAACTTGAAAAAAAAGAGTGCAACTACGAAAGAAGTAAAGCAATTTACTTAAGACTGGTAAATAATTACTGAAGGAACTCGGAAACTAAAGGGAAAGGAAATGAAAATTTAGAAAAAGGAACTGTAATAAGGAAAGAAACTCATTACATAAACAAAACCACTGACCTAAACAAGGCCACTGCAATAAAGTGGAATCAATTCGGCTGAAATCAGTTCCAGGCACCCAAAAATGAGAGCCTCTCTGGGTCCTGCTTTTGAGACAACATGAGCTTTTATAAGTTTTGTGTGTCTTTTACATAATTAAATGATCCCAGGTTCACAAATGCAACTACTGGAAAGAAAAGATATGAACTCCTGGTGTCCAAGGCATGAGTGACAAAAGCTATCTAAGAACCACCGACTATAGAAATAAAAGAGTAGACCAAAGTCTATCTAAAAAAGCAACAAAAGAAACAAATAAGATAGCATACAGTATTCCATTTCAACAAAAGCAATCGTTTGAGGGTAGTTACACAGGAATAATAATTCTAAAGCATTCGAAAACGTACCTTTCTGCATACCACCTCCACCACCTGCACCACCACCACCACCACCTCCACCACCACTCTTGGTAGCTGCAGGGCCAATACGCATTGGCCTGGATGAACATAAAACACCATTCATTTCAGACATGGCACGAACTTGCTCACTCTCCTCTCCAAATCTAACAAAACCATATCCTTTAGAGCGTCCAGTAGTTCTATCAGTGACAACTTTCGCTCCCTTGACTGACGGGTAAACAGTTTTGAACGTTTCTTGCAATATGTAATCCGAAACATCAGCAGCAAGATCTCCAACAAAGATTGTGTAGTCAGGAGTGTCATCATTGCGTCTCTCACCAGCACCAAGAGTTGCCCAGTTAAGGCGAAAATTCTGCTCAGCAGATGGCATCAGCGTCCCATTGTAGGTCTGTAAAGCATTTTCTGCACCAGCACGACTCCTGAACTCAATAAAACCATAGCCTTCAGGTTGTCCAGTTTGTTTGTTTCGAATAATCTTCACCGTGAGAACCTGAAAATAGAATTAGAAACAACTTAAATCGCAATTCCAATTTTTCAATACATACGTAAAGAGCTCATTAGGGAAAAGGATCAGTAGTACCTCTCCGGTGTTGTAGAAGCAATTAGTAACATATGTTTCATCCATCCAATACTGCAAGTCTCCGATCCAAAGAGACCGAATCTCATCGGAACTCGCCGGAGCAGAAGAATACTGCTGCGACTGCTGATTTGCTTGCATCATATGTTGTGCTTGTTGCTGCTGCTGAGGCGGTGCCTGTTGCTGGGCCCACATATGGGGCGGCAGTGGTTGTTGGTGCTGTTGTTGAGCCGGTGGGGGCATCATCCACTGCTGTTGCGGTGGTGCTTGTTGGTACTGCTGTTGTTGTGGTGGCGGCTGCATCGGAGCCATTGGTACCGGTGCCATGCCGTTTCCTGGTTGCATCATCTTGTGAAAGGAAACCTAATTGATTCGACAAATCAAACTGTTTATAGGGTAGAACAATAATATAGAAACCCTAACAGAATCTATCGGTAAAATTGAAGTATAGGGTTGATCGATAAGAACCCTAGACGGATCGCAGAGACCCTAAATCCAGATAGGGTTGATTCGTGCGAGAGGATATTTTTGTGAGAGCCGTAGCATTTTATATACCGAGATGATTTGGGCCGGTTAAATCGGCGGACAATAAGAAAGTAAAAGGCCCATTTAGTCGGATCCATTTTCATAAACCCATTAGGCCATTACAAGGATAATTTAGTGACATTATAAAAGTAAAAGGACCATTTAGCGGCACCCATAGTACTTTTATACATTTATTGGGCTTTTTTTTTCTTTTTTTTTGGAAAATGAACTAAAAACCTTTTAAGTTTTGTAGAAAAATCATATAATTTTTTTTTTCGGATTTTAAGTTTATTGAAGGGATAAATGACTTAAAGAGTAATTAAATTATACCTTTAGAACATATTCAATCACATAATTTTTTTTTTTGTGCACCATTAACCCTTAGACTTGTTTTTTTGTTTAAAATATACCACTATTACTAGCAATAACAGGAAAATCTATTTTGGGGGTTCACCTCCAGCGACATTTCAGATGGATACAAACTCCAGTGGACGCCTAAAATGTTTTTTTTTCAAATATAGATCCTACCTCGTCTGAATCTCTTCAAGTTTCATCAAGGTAAAATTAATCCTAATCCACCATAACAAATTCAAAATCATCATTTGGGTGTTTTATTATTGTGGATTTTGCTATTTGATTACAATTTACAAACAAAAAAAATGATTTGTAAGGATTAGGAGCAAGGAGAATCGGAGTGGCATCACTCCCACCGCTTGACTGCTTACACGCAATGAGAATTTTGTTCATATCCCATGGAAAGGGGTCTGTAGCGAAGATCAACATAGATGCTCAATCGTTCAACAATAAGATAAATTTAGTTGCGACCCAACTTGTATCATAACACCCATATCTCAAGATGGTTATTTTCAGCATCTTCAACCACTCTACGACCTAATCAAAGATCTCGCCTCCCATGGCAACAAAAATTAAGTCTGAAATTCCATATCCTTATAGTCAAAAATTGATTTCGTTTAAATGATTACATATAATCGTTTATTTTAGGGTTTGTGGAGGCGTTGAGAGGGTGTTGTAGGACAGAAAAATTGGAAATGATGGTGTTCTTTTGTAACACTAAATTGATCGGGACATGTCCCAATGCGACTCAGTTTGTGTTATGGGATGGTTTTCATCCATCTGAATATGCTAATCAAGTCTCTGCTAATCAATCGACATCACACTTTTTTTCTTATAAACTTTGTATCACTTCATGTACAAAATGTTCTATAATTTGAAAAGGGATAAATCAAGTTTCTATTACTATTATTATTGTTTTTCGTTATGTATGAATTCAAATCATCGATTATAGTTTGTATTCAAAAATCTCATATTGAATTTTACGGGTTGTTTCTATTCGTTCAATGACTTTAGATCTTCTAAAGCAAAATCTTTTTTGTTATGTTTGAATTCAAATCATTGATTATAATTTGTATTCAAAAATCTCATATTCAATTTTAGATGTATTTGTTTCTATTCGTTTCATGACATAGGATCTTCTAAAGCAAAGTCGCCATTACATAAGCTTGTTTTTGTTTCATTTACTTGATTATCATCATCTTTATGAACTTTAGTTTCCAAATATTTCTTCAAGTTTGCAACTTTATATGGGAGTGTGAAGGGATAAAGGGTTTGTAATCTACAAGGGAAAAACGAACCTAGTAGTTCGGTGGTGGCTCACGACGAATGTAAAGCAATATGTAACGCTCGGGTTTTCAGGGCTAAGCATTTTGTCAATGTAATAGTCTATGTCAACTATTGTAACTCTTTTTGAAGTAATAAATATGAAATATTTGAGTATTATGTGAACTATGTGTTTATTATAAATGTATAATTAACAAAGAATAAAAATGAGCGTCAAAATTAAAGTGTGAGATAATCCCGATATCTCTACATAAAGTTGTAGAATATGTCTCAAGGTTTCCATACATATAAAGAATGCCGAAATCCGAGCTATAATGAAGTAGTTATGGCCCGCCGAAGTTTTACGGCAAAACCGGCACGGCACCGGAAAACATAAAATAGTAAATTTACGATAGAAGACTTTTTAACCTTAGAAATCTAAACAAAAGTTGTAGAATATGTTAAACTAAGAACATCGATAAAAAGAACGCCCAAATCCGACTTCGTATGAAGAAGTTACGCCTTTTCGAAGTTTCGGACTAGCAGTGTACTACCCGAAATTCGAATGCTTGATCGAGCGGTTTTTAGCCGACACGACCTGAACGAGAATCGAAGATCTTGTTGAGAGTAGCGTAACGAGAAAAAGATGGGCAAAAACGGATGTCGGATGAATAAGTTATGAGGATTTAACGAACCAATCGTGTCCCGGCTCGTTAATAATATAAAATTTAAAATCGAGCCAAAATTAGCCGACGAAGTCTAAATGAAAGTTGTAGAGTACGTTCCCACCTTCGCTTGGATATAAAGAACGTCAAAAACGGAGCTCGTATGCGAAAGTTACGAATTTTTGAAGTTTGAACTTGAAAATACGAAACTGATGCGAAATCGGATGACGTGGCCGCTTCTGAACCGTCGCTTGCTGACCACGGCTTCGCTCTGGATCGTGCCACGACACCTCGCCTTACGCCGCGCGTACGAAGAGAACTCCCCGCGTCCGAGTACGCCTCACGTCGGAAGTCGCTACGCCTCGCGCCTACCGGTGTTGCGAGCCAGCTGGTGCGAAGCTGGCACCCTTATCCGAGCAGTACGCCCAGCGTACCCTCGGTACGCCCCGCGTAGAGGCGACCTTCGGCCCCTATAAATAGGTGCGAACTTCTCCGGATTTTTCACACCATTTCTCATTCTCTCTCTAAAATCTTTCTCTCTCTAAGGTTTTGAAGCCTCCCTATGGTCTAGGTGAACCCCTAGCACCCTAAGGAAGCCCCGAGGCTCCCGGAGTCCCGAGAAAAAGGAGTTTTTCGGTTTCGAAACGCTGCTCCAATTGAGTCCCGGTTTTCGATAAAATTCGCTGTAAGTATGCTACGCTTACGCAATTTTTAATATAGTTTCCAAATAATTATAGGAATGTTATTAGGTCCTTAAAATAATTATTTGGGCTATTATTATGAGATATATCGAGTATTATTAATGCGTAATAATACTCAGACTAATTAATTTATCGCGGTTATCATTAAACTAAACCCTAGTGGTACCGATACTAGGTTTTATCGAAGCGCTGTCCGAGTGCTGAGTCACCACCTAATCAGGTGAGTGCATAGTTACCTTCAACTTACACATAGATATGAAGTATTTTACGTGCTATGTGTGCATATTATCTGAATACTTGCTATCTATGCTAGATGAACGTTGTTATACATGTTTTCAATGATTTAAACTGTATATGTATTTTATATCTACGAAAATGTTGGGGTAAAACATGGGTAGATGTAATAGGTGATGTGTGATAAAATGATGAGAGGCCTCGATGTTGTTGTTGTTGATCCAGTCATCTAGCGGAGTATAGATGACGACCACGGACTCTTCTAGACAGTCCAGTGGAACACTAGCAGGCTCGCAACCTGTAGGTGTTGTGAACGATGTGTTCACCGGTGTACTCCATCCCCCACATGGTTGCCTATTAGGACATTTATTGCTGAGGAATCCCCTTAGCAGTAGTGTCCGTCCCGATGATGATCCTTAGGCTAGGTCCCTTATGATAGGTGTTTAGGGACGTAAAGTGAGGATAATATAAAACAAATTCACAGGTTAACAATACACGAAAAATAATTAAGTGACCAAATATGTACACATGCAATAGTCACGCAAACATATAGCATCATGTAATGCCCTATTCCGATTTGTTTCCTAATGTGGGGTGGTGACCAGAAGAACGAGTATCATCAGCATTAGGGCCTTTGAGGAAAAGATATTTAGACCCAATTGGGTATGGGTAAGGTAAATTGGGTGATCCGGGTGTTCGGATTGTGTTTGGAGCCAAAGGGTATATCGGTAAAGTGTTAATTTAGGCTTTTATGGAAATTGAGTTTTAGTTCTAGAAGTTTTAAGGCAACTATGAGTTGATATAAGTGTAGAGCTTCTCATTACCTTTCAGTGGATATAAGTCTCTTCAGAAACGGACTTATAACAAAAAAGTTATGGCCTTCGGAAGTTTGGTGGTTTTAAGTTTTAGCCGGATACGCGGGGGGTACTAGTGAAAAGGGCAGACGCGAGGCATACCTTGGCGTATGTTGGGCGTATTGACCAGGATGGTCGCGGATCCTCTATGGAGTATGTTGGGCGTACCATATGTACGTTGTGCGTACTCCAATCAAACATAAAATTTTAGGGTCTTGTACCCTATTTAAGCTCCTTATCTCCTAACCTAACCCTAATATCTTCATCCTCCATCCCTCTAAACCCTAAAAATCGACCCTTAGTCCCTATTTGAATGATTCTTGAGCTTCAAAGTGAGTTATGTGTGTTTTTTGTGCTTGATGATGAAGAAGGAACTTCTTGAAGAGTCATTGCTTGACTTAGAGCTTTTGGATCTAGGCTTTGTTCACCTAGATCTAAAATTTGAAGGTATAAAGTCTCAACATTGACAACTATTTCTTATAGATCTAAATATGTGGCACTTTGTTATGATTTTGGTCCCTTTTGTGGTGGTTCTAATGAGTAGAAGTTACTCCAAAACCTTTGAGCTTCATATTTGGCCCTTGTTAGGGTTATGGAGTCATAAAGTTTGGATCTTGATGAGTATACACCTTCCATACATGATTTGGTAGTCTTTTGGTGAAGCTTGGGACTTAGGGTTTTGATTTGGGTCCATTAAGTCATGCTAAGTCATAAAGTCATGAACTTTATGACTTTAGAAGTCCCTTTGTATCAAATCTGGAAGTTTGGATTAAGGTCTCAAGGTATTCAGAAGTTTTTAAGACATTTTGGAGTGATTTTAACCCGTGTAGTTCGTGTTTGGTGTTGGGATTCATTAAGTCATGCAAAGGTTTAAAGCCTTCGACTTTATGGATAAAGTCACTTATATTTAGCTATTCTGAGGTTGTTGATGTAGCACCTGGTTCCTGGTATGTAAATCTTAATTGGATATTTTCCTTTTTAAGCCTTGGACTCGGCGAGTCATAGGTCCGACTCGCCGAGTAGGGACGAGACCCCGGGACGCGTTTAAGTTGGCGACTCGGCGAGTCCATATCCTGGACTCGGCGAGTCACCGTTGTTGGATAAAAGCCTAAGTTTCTGGGGTTTGCATCCTATTTAATCCCCCTTTCCGCCCCAGGCCAGCCCCCATTCACCCCCTAAAGCTCCCAACCCTCGTTTAAGCTTGTTCTTTGAAGAGTTGAAGCATTTGTTGTGTGTTCTTGAAGGTTTTGAAGAGAAAGGGAAGTAGATCCAGAAGAAGGAAAGTCATCCAAGCACCATTGTGTTCTCTCAGCAGTTCCTTTGAGGTATATCCCATTTTCCCCATGTTTCTATGCTTAAGGCTTCATCTAAGGCATTCTTGGCTCATTTCCAAGCTTGTATGTGCATGATAATTCGAAATAAGTTGATTGGTCTCTAGATCCAAGCATAGTTGAGCTCCAGGAGCTCAGATCCACTACCTTTATGAGCCCATATTGCATATAAACCTTAGATCTACTCTTTTGGTGCATTTTGAACCCTAAAAATCCCATACATGGATATTTACACGTAAAGTTGGAAACTTTACGTGTTATTTATGCTTTAGGAGCCCAGATCTACGAATGACATGGATTGGATTCGAGCAAAATCACATTTTTAGCTCTTGCATGGAGCGGACTCGGCGAGTCGCTCATCTGACTCGGCGATTCGAGTCG